AACGAATGAATAAATTTTGAGCACAAATTTCGGAGGTATTATCTTAAGTCTAGTTGGTTTGTCTCTATAGTCTTATTCCAGACAGTAAATCATAATATCATTAAGCCTATAATGAATTGAAATGTATGCACTGAATTTAATTAAGATCACAATAACTTTGGAATCAAACTAGTACATTGTAATCCAACAGGTTCTCAGATAACTGTTCTCAGTCATAGATACATAAATAAATAGATATCAATAGATGGCATAAATAACTTATGTTGGTTATTTTTTCATGATATGTCATCAGTCAGTCAGCTACAACGTAGGACTAGGCACATATATGCATCGGTCCAAGTTTCCGTACCTCATTAACGCAATAAGATGAACACCAGGTTCATAAAAGTCGTTAATTCAGTGGTGGTAATATATAAAAGAAAGATTCCATATAAGGATATAGTACAAGAAGAAAGAATTAGTTCATAGAAAGAAAGATATGAAGCGATTTTAGTCTCTTAGTTTAAGGGAAGACGGAGAGTGTATACACCAACGCCATTGTGATCGATTCTGAGCCATGTCACCAAGATTCTCCAACCACTGGTTACGATAGTCACGCGGACACCAATGATATGTCATAAATAATATTATACACATTCAGATTGAAATAAACAATAACAAAAAAGTAAAAGTCACTACAAATTGTGCTGTCAAGATAATTGATTTTGTTACGAAACGACGAGAGCTTCAGTGCTGTTATTCTATAGTATTTTAAAATTATTACATAATTCCTCACTACTTGTAGTGGACATGATCCATTTATGTGTTAAAAAACACATTTCCTACCATGTTTCTTGTATGTCACTTTGGTGGACTAAAAATATATCAATCTCAAAAATAATGAAAAAGTTATTACGAAACAAAATTAGTGTGTTAATATACTAAATATAAATTAAATACATAAGGAAAATATACGGGACGTTACTTAAATTGTCAGTAGTATGTATGCACTTAATATTAAAATAATGACATCATTTGTAAAAACTACTTGAGGAAGATCAATTTGATAATTTTTGAACATAAATCGGTCTACACTAATCAAGTTATTCGTGAGATATAGTACTTAAAATCTTCATTTCTCAAACATCAACAACAAAATCTTAAATATTCCACACTATTGAACCTAACAGTGAGATTGTATCTTCCTATAGTTTGTATAATTACTGTCCAAATTCATTTAATACGTTAGTATAAAGTTAGTAAAGGGTAAATATGTGCATCATAACCTACAATTATAATAACTATTGAAGACTGCAACTTGAAATACCTTTTACTGAATTTTTACACTAAATATGAACACTTTTACCATTTCTCTATTATACCAATATGATTGCGATGCCGCTCTGACTACATTCTTTTAAGTGTTTGCTCATTACTGTAGATTCAGTGCATACCTAACACAATTGCGATACATACATTACAATCTGAGTAATGTAATCAAATACCTGCTTACCGTTATTCTAATCACGGAGAACAATGTTTATCGATATATTTGAATTTGAGTGGTGATAGTTAACTTATCTGTTTCTTGGTTGGGCATTTTGAGTTGGCAAGATTATGATCAAGTGTTCATTTTACGTTAACAATCGGAGTTCGTTAAGTTAAATCTGGATATATATGATAAGTTAGTTATTTGAGACAGCATTTTCTCCAAGTGGATGTTTATTTTTTTTAATATGTCAGTGAACGCCAATTCACAAGTTCTATGCTTTTTCGTTTCTATTGAGCGTGGTTTTTTTTGTTAATCATCGGCTAAGTAGGCATTACTTATTTTATATGTTAATGTGAGATACGTTTCAGCCCTGTTCTTTGCATTCTTGGTGTTAGGATATAAACTATGAAATTAAAATTTTAGGATAAGATAAATAAGAACACTGACGTTACCATCAATAATGCTTTCATGGAACTCAAGAAATACTCATTAAGAAACAATAATTTTTTTATTATTCGCATATAACTGATTCGCTAGGAATGGACTCGTGTACTTGGCTTCCAGCTACACTCTAAATGTGAAACCTATTGAAACTACCTGTTTATCTAAAGTGAAGTTGATGGGAAAATATCCGATCCGGTGCTTTGTGACCGAAAGTTGGACACCCTAACCACTGAGCTGCATATACATCAATGATGTATTATATATTGTTGTTCTTAATCCCGTAGTTTTATATAACTCAATATTTTTTATTTAGTTGGTGAAACTTTATTGGTTGACATCAAGTCTGTTTGAACGTTATGGACAGTAATTTAAAACCATTCCATGGATAAAAACTAAAATAACTCAATCACATGCTTGCAACTACTCTATCGTAAACTATTGACTATGTCAATGAAAACCGACTCTAATTGAGATTTTATCCATATAGTCTTGTTGATAAAGTTACCAATAGCTAATGATTAACTGTAGCGAATTGTTTAGCACTATATTGATTGACTAGTATAATTTTAATTGCATTTATTGAAAAGCGAGAGAAATTTTGATGTAGAACATGTCAAATGTTGGGATAATGTATTGATGAAATAATAAACCAATCAAAATGATATTTTTTTGGGGAAAAAAGGGATACATAGGAAATCAATAAATATATTCGTGAAATCGAATAAGGAAATATGCATTCTATCCACATTATCTTAGTCACCATGTTACAAACTTCGATAGATTTGTTCAGTTGTAAAAATTGGTCAACATAAACATTGTTCATGGTCACTGATAGAAAATATTTTTGTATTTGTTTGTTCACCTTTCAGGCTGAAACTGTCAGTAAAGTTAATAACGCTTCCGTTGAAAAAAATGAATACTTACAATATGTTTGTATTCATATACAACCTAAATGTTGATATATAATTACAGGTAAAAATGAATTTCAATGTATGCGAATATGTCCGTACATGTAATTGTGAAGGAATGCGTTTCAAACATGTAACATTATTTCCAAGTTCATTGAACACCTCTATGTAGTAAAAAAAGTTTGAATATGCATCATTTCGAATTTCGTTTTACATTATTCTTGCGTAAATAGTAACTAGAGATTGACTAAATGATCAGCTGTCACAAATAGTAAGCCCTTACCAGCAGAAGCAGTAATGTTCGTTAACTTAAATAATTTCCTTCTAAAGAAGCTTCGATTCATTGGTGTTAAATAGCAAGTGATGGATGAGATGGCCAATTAGTTTCATGGTGGTTGATAATCATTAGCAAATTGTGTCTGCGATCTCAAAAGAACTAATACTCCCTATGGGATTTTCACCCAAGTCACACAGTGTCCCAATCAGAGAAATAATCATTGTTCGACATCAAATCGTTTAGTGTTCACACTGGAACTTGGTCAATAAATTTTGACCAGTATTAAAGACTACACAAATATAATACTGATTAGTACTTATTGATCAATTGAGTTTATTAATTCAAGAATTTTCCATTAGGTTTTTGATTGAGATCATGAACCGATTGATGTTAGACCACCACAATTGAAAACCTGGAAGCACCGGACGGCCGTTTCGTACTATTGCGGGACTCCTCGGCAGTGCGCATCCATGATCCCGCTCGCAGGATTCCTAGAATTAGAGTTTCATACTTCTTTTATACGTTCCTTTAGCAACAAACATTAGAATAATGTGTCTGAAAATCTTTTGAAGCTTGACCAACGTAGATGAAGTTCTTTTCTATTGAATTGTGAATAATCTGTCTAACACAACAACGAAAGTCTACAAATAAATGCTACTGACGAAATTAATTATCTTAGTATTAATTCTGATTACTAAAAGTATTGGTACTACGAAACAATACAGACTTGTCAGCACTCAAAAGAGCACATATTTACAAACTTTTATATGGTCGGATAATCTACAGACATAAAGATCTTGTAACAAGAAAGATACTTTTTTTATACCATAATGATATTTTCGATATTCAGTCCGTTCAGGATGAATTATAACCAATATGAAATGAAATGGGCGAATATCTATCGTATCCGCTTTAATTAATCGTCTAAAAATGAATTTTCTGTTTGATTTCGAAGATTCAATCAGTCTACAACGAATATTATTAAGCAGTCTAGAGTTTGTAATAACTAATAGAAAAGAACATCAACTGATACATCACTGAAGCAGTATATAACATACTTAGTGACAGTCATTGTGATCAGAATATTTTCGGTAATTCAAATGAGTCTTTTCCAGTTTTTAGTAGGCTTACATGATCTTACCATTAGTCATCATTAATTATGATCACCACAGAAGATTATGTTTATTTGGAAGTTTTCCCCATCCTATTGAATGATATGATCTAACTACTCCAATGGAATTTTAACACTGGAAACCAAATCCACATTATATATTGAATGATTTCATTCTGTTTTGTTTAAAATACCCTAAACAAGTTTAGTTAGACAAATACACTCGAATTTAAACCACCATTTTTGATTACTCAAAGACCACTAGATACTTGATGGTAGAATCTTTTCACGTGATAAATTTAGCAAATACTCAAATTCTAACGTCATTTGAATTTTACATCTTTTTACACTAAGTTGCAGATAATATCATTCCCTGAAGAAGAACATATTCTGTAGAACATTAAATTTATTTAAAATACTAATTTCAAATGCATTGCATAAAAAATAATGTCAACAATCCATAGAATTGAGCTCATTATTAGTTTACACAAATAAATAGATTGTGTAATTCACAAATTACAAATAAAGATATAAGTAAGTAAACAAGGCACAACTTTTGTAAAGTAAAAAAAGCACATAAATATATTCTTTGCAGAAAAAAAAAACATAATCAATCCAGCTTGAATAAATAGTGTCTACTACCTGTACTATCCCCAAAAGGCAATAAAATTTCCTTGGTATTGGAAATGATTGGGAATAAATAAATACAAACAAGTCAAAGCATATTAAAAGCAACAAAGAGTTAGGATTTGAAAAGATAAAAAGTTTCTTTACTGATGACTATACACATCATTTTAACTGCTTTAGTGCCGTTAGTAGACTTTCCGGTTTAGGTGATGAGGCAACCGCTGAAACAATCAAACCTAATTCTTTTAATCGTGTTGCTGTTGCGCGTCCCATAGCAACCAACTGATTGACAGAGAAAGTCAGGGCAAAATAAGTAATTATTAATAAAACCCGATGAAATTTAAAACTTTTACATAGAATCATACAATTTATTGGAGGTCATATACAATTTCTAGGACAACCTAGATCAATATGCACTAATATCAGATAATGACCAAGTCCTAACTGATGTAATTTTGTATAATGTTATAGTATACTCTTTTAGTGTGACGTTTAATAGGACTACTTGACCATTTAAGTCTAAGCGAGCACAGGAAAGTTTATGGACGAGGCCTATGGAACGAAGTTTAGGGCTATAATTACTATACTTTTAACGATCGTCACATTTGATTCTTTCACAACTACGTTTTTTATCAGCTGGACATTAAGCCTGAGCTGTATACATCAAGTGTAGTTCGGTTGACCACATATACCTATATCTTATGATAAGTTATGTCTACTTAAAACTATTTATAGTATTATTCGCATACCTAAATTAGTGAACCAAAGCTGAAATGGTAGTGAAAGCAAAAAGAAGCTGGACTGCAGTCGCCTTCTTATCACTATTATGATATAAGACCGGAGAGTAAAAGGCGATCACAATTTCTGGCTCGCTTAGTAATCTTGAGATCACTGATTTGAACAAGATTTCCACTAACTTACGTGATCGTATCGTTATAATAGCTGAGTTTGATGACACTCTAGATCACTTGAATACCGAGCAGATAGTTATAAGGAAAATTTTATAAACTACATCTAACGACAAAACGAAACACAGGAGTTTTCTAGTTTGCGTGTTTTCTGACAGTTCATCATTGTATTATTTTCATGAGCTCGAAAAATATTCCTGCTTATAAAACAGCACCAAACATTCGCGCAACAGCCAATCAACAATCATCTATCGCGAAATATGGAAGTTCCATAAAAGAATTGTGCATTTCTTAATAATTTGATTGATTCATTACTTAAACTGTTATGAATTTTGAATACTTCCCTTAAGTCTTCAAGATTCACTGCTATCAGAATAGATTTCTATGAGAACAAAAGTAATTTTGCTTGCTCCAGTTTATCTTTTTTCGTAACTAGCCACTTTAACCTCTAAACACACTGCAAAAATCTTCAAGATGTTATTGTGTTACAGGCTAACTAATCTTCAGACGTTTTGTTCGATATGATATGAAAGAAAACCTGAAACCTCATCGGTAACCCTATTTAGCTCATTTTCCATGATCAATAAAATAAAATAAAAATCTGTCTCAAATTTAGCATATTAGTACTAAGTAAACCAAAATAAATAGTTTATGTATCTCATAAGATGAGAGAATAGATCTACGAATCTACGAAAATTATTTTCAGCTTCATCACAATGTAGTAATGAACATGTTAGAAAGTGATGACGCTAAACACAAACTAAATATGTATAACGACCAGATAAGATAAACTTCAAGTTTTGATTTAGTAAAAGAGAAAAAACTGCTAGTATGTCTCCATAAAGTTGGTGTGTTATGGTGTATGGTATTTGATGTCAGTTTACAATGAGAACTAGCTTCCATATACTATTTGTTTGTCATGATGTAGTTATTTCCAATAATCCTCATGGATAAACCAGGGCTAAAATTTAACTGGTTAAATGAAAATGTAAGTTCAGAAACTTTATATAGAAACGGTACGGACACCTTCTCAAGTGAAATAAGTTGAGGATATAGAAAAAACATACACTTACTTTAATATTCGGTCGATGTGGTTTAATTTCGGTTAGTAATATATTTTCAGTCAATGAAACGCCAGAGGGACTGAAAAATACTAAACATTCAGGAATAGGATTTCCTTCCTAGAAAAAGATACAAACACTAACAAATTATTTTTATAATTATAGGCTTCAATATCATACAACAGAACAATCAATTACAAACAATTAGTACCAAATATTTGCAAATCCATCTATATGCCTTACTGATAATTTTTTTTCGATTATTAATGTTGCTAATTGGTACTGATGACCTTCAACTAAGATTATTTAGTAGTACAAATCTTCAAAGAGTATGTTCAAAATTACTTTCCAATTTAAACATACCACATAGCTTAAACATTCTTGTTTCTGAAAGATACCTGAGCTAACATTCTGCAAGTAAGTTGTACCTGATTGTCCTATTCTCATTTCAAACCATGAACTTTGGAAATATTAGATTTTGTACGAAAATTTTGCAACTTAGTTCTTCTGTTACCTTATCCATGGTCAAGCTTTATGTACTTCTATGGTACGCTTTTCAATGACAAACGTTGCCGAAAAACCTTTCGGTCAACAGGTAGTTAGTACTTACCATTAGGATTCAGTCCAAAAGTCAATGACTTCACTAACTGATTCCAGCCAGTCTGTTTTCGTTTATAATTTGCTGAGAAGAGCCTGTAACTAAACTCAGCTGTTGTATAAACTACTGACTTACGATTGGTGTACTAAGGTACACAAGGCGCATTTGCAGTGAACAGAACGTGGCTTTGGTTGCACTTTCCGAAAGGAATTATTTGGTTAGCTGTAGAATGAACAATGTGAATAATCCAAAGATGTTATGCTGTGAAGCAAGCAAAAATACACAATTAAATCCAGAAAATACTGCTAAACCTAGCCAGAAAACCAGATGTTACTTTGAGGGGAATTAATTTTTTTTTAAAGTTATTGTTGCAATGCCTGAAAACAGAGAACTTACACATAAATTCAATCGCAGTTTTTCATGAAGTTGAGTATTTTCTACAGAAGAATAGGCCACAACGGTATTTACTTTTTTTCCTGTATTTCAAGAATATTAAGTTATTATACAGAAACCTTCATTTTCCAAAACTTTCGGTAGTGTGTCGCGGTGTACTTGCCCAGATGGGAAAAAAATAGGTTTATCCAATTCTGTAAAATGATTTGTGTGTAATGGGTGGAAGAAACTAGGTTATCTACAGATTACTTGAGGCAAAGTGCTTCAAAATAAAACTAGCGAGCTTCTCCGCATCACCAGAATCAGCTCCCTTAGGCGAAAATCCAGCTTTTTTAGCTATAAAACGATTTTATTAATATATATAACTATGGGATTCATTACCTTGTAACTCAGTGCTAGGACCAACAACGAAACAAAGGTCATTTTCATTACCTATCATTTACCAAAAGGTGTCATAAAAAAGTACACTGACCTGTTAGTCCAGCTTTAACACATGCGATAACGGAACGTGGGCTACTAAAAATAATGCAACTGTGATTGTTCCTCCAATTTTTGTATTCCGCTAGATTTGATATGTTATACTCGAAATCAAGAGTTTCCAGTAAGTCTACGCTGAAACCTGAGTTTTTTAATATCTAATTTTTCAAAATGGTGGACAAAGTAATCACAAAATTAACCTACCTGTACATAAGGGTCATCACCGATGCTAGTAGCATTATCACCAGCCGATTTAAGGAGAACTACGTACATTTTCTAGTAAAACAGAACAGAGGACAAAAATCAGGCTAAGGTACTGAGTAGCTATTTAGAGACTCTGAAAGAGTAATAGAAACTATCATACAGACCTTTCTTTTCACCATTATACCAGAACGTGAATTTTCTCACCATATATCTAACACATGACTAACAAGGTTGTAAAGTCGGACAAAGTCATGCTACTCGATTGTTGGAAGTACCTCATGTTCTATTTCCGAAAGGATTACTACTTTTTCATGATAAATATTTGGCCCGAAGAGTGCTTGCGTTAATTGTACAACAATAAATAGGTTTCTTTTTGTGGTTTACCGCCGAGTTTGAAAAGGTCTAGAGATAATAACCACAGACAAGTAGAAGCTATGAATCATCTCCAAGCTTAATGAACATTCCTCGAGGATTGAAGATTTAAGATCATTCATCTAATTACGCATTACTACACCACACAAACAGTACGTCAATGAGTATCAAACCCTGAGCGTCAACTTACAATTAGATGACTTAAGGTTGTACTGACTAATCGATCGTTTTTGAGTAAAGGACTACTTTCTACACATAGTTTAGAGGGAAATAAAAAACTAAAGAGTACTCAATATAGTACTCCTTAGTTTTGTCTATAGGCAAAATCCACACTCCATAACTTTTTAACTCTTAGCCATCGGCTTAGTTAGGCTACTCAACATGTGTTTACCCCCTGATTTGAGGAAATTCGAGGTTTTGTGTCACTTTCTCAAAACAGGGAGATTGAGATAAGCAACGTGCAGTTGAGTTTCTATGTAAGAACCCTCTGATTACTATTAAGACGCTAAAATAAGGTTCACATGCTTCTGAAAATCAGCAATAATAAATCTTCATAGCACTTATGTAAGAACTAGCAGTCCAAACTACGGAAACCCACTAACACCTGAAAACAATAAAATAGCCGGCACTCCAGTCCTATGCAAGAAATATTAGCAACTGATGTACTAAAACAAATGCAAAATATTCTGACGTTTTATTCACTAGCTTTGCACTTAGCAGTTGCTCTTCTGAACCTCTGTCGGTTTCTACTAACATTATCAGTTTATATTTATTACAGTATTGAAAATAAGTAGCTTCCTAGACAGTGTAGCGGTAAATAAATCCCCAAATTAAATAGCACTAAGTTTTCGACATTGGATGCTGACCATTTGTTTTAGTGGACTCATCTAGCTGAAGGTGCTTGGTCAGGCATCCGCACCAGATCACGTGTGGTAACGCCGTGCTCAACATCTACCGCAATCGCTAGCCAGATTAGATCAGAGAATTCCGATATATTGGTAATCGCCAAATACACTCTTCCGATCTCCTCGACTCTGTCTTTTGATTTCTCTGGGTGGGAACGAAATATATTAGAAGGTGTTACTGGTAAAAGCGTTGTCAAACACTGAATACCTGTGACATCATCATTGGTGAGACTGACGTGATCAGGTACACCTTATTGCAACCGTGAGTCTGTTCCTTTTTGGGATTTTTTATATATCATTGCCTTATTTTTCATTTTTTTTTTAAACATAGTGATTTTTTTTCGTATTTTTTCTTGGATATATATATTTTTTCCCCTCGTTCATTATCGTACTTCATATTTCATCATGACTGAACAGACACCTAAAGTACTCAAGCTTAAGACCATGTCCCCACCTTCGTTTCAACTGATGCCATTCTGGCCAGACAACATAGAAGCCGGATTCTGCTACTCAGAAACCGACTTCTCCGAGCACGTCGTGATCGACACACGTGCACAATTCCTCACAGTAGTCAAAGCACTACCGCGCGAATTCAACAGGTACATAACACTTAGTATGTTTACTAGTGATGTTTCTGACCCTTACGAAACCTTAAAACGTTCGATTCTTAAACGAGGAGACCTAACCGATCGACAAAGGTTAGATCAACTCTTCAATAACATCGACCTGCAACACGGTTCCGCGACAGACATGTTGCAACGGATGAGAGAGGTAATAGGCCCAAGAACTTTCGACGAAGGTCTATTCAAACAACTCTTCTTGTCAAAACTTCCCCAACAGTTGCAAGCAGTTCTGGTCTCGTTCCAGAACAACGCCTTAGACGAGGTAGCTGCATCTGCCGACCGCATTTTAGAAATTACGAAATCTACTACCGAGGTATTTTCAGTCAAAGAAAAGTCTCACACGACTCAGAATGATATAACTGACTTATGTCACACACTCACGCGTTATCTTAGTCTTCGTACCGACCGTAAGAGATCGCGCACACCAAGTAGAAGCATTTCACGTAAGCGGACTGTCTCTAGACCACGAGAGACAGATAACCCCGACTGGTGCTGGTATCATAACCAGTATAGAAAGCTTTCCAAAAATTGCAGAAAACCCTGCAATTTTCCCAACACGAAACCGACTGATTCGAAAAACAATCCGAGAAAATTCCAAGCCGGCACACGTTAACGGCAACCGTAGCCGGCGAACATAGCCGTCTTTTATACGTCACAGATGTGACAACGAGAGTTCGCTCCCTCGTCGACACTGGCGCAGAAGTTAGCGTTCTCCCAGCGAATCCCAACGATCGGCTTCAAGAATCGGCTCTAAACTTACAGGCGGCAAACGGAAAACCGATCGCTACGTTTGGCAAAAGGTACGTTTACCTTAACGTGGGTTTACGCAAACCCATCCACTGGATTTTCGTTGTTGCAGATGTTTCTATGCCAATCATTGGTATGGACCTTCTACAACACCACAATCTGATCATCGACACTCGCGAACGGAGGCTAGTAGACGGAAACACTAATTTGTCCGTTTGCGTAACTTCTTTCACTGGTTGTAGAGTATCCCCAGTCACAGTTAAACATATGATAGACCCACTCTACCAACCACTACTCGATAAGTACCCTGGGATACAACAAACCCAACCAAGATTACCGTGTGTAACCGGCAATCTTACACATCACATCACGACTACAGGACCACCTGTATTCTCTAAAGCACGACGACTAGCTCCTGAAAAGCTAAGGTTAGCGAAAAACGAATTCGATCACATGATGAACTTAGGAATCATACGACCGTCAAGTAGCGCATATGCTTCTCCGTTGCACATGGTCCCTAAAAAAGGACAGCAACGATTGGCGTCCAACTATTGACTATCGGCGATTGAACGCGAAAACCATTCCCGATCGTTACCCGTTGCCTCACATTCACGATTTGACAGCTACCTTGAAAGGTACAACTGTCTTTTCGAAAATCGACTTGGTTAAAGCGTATAACCAAATCCCTATGGCTACTGACGACATACCGAAAACAGCTATCATAACTCCTTTCGGACTCTATGAACTTTTGCGAATGCCTTTCGGTCTAAGGAACGCTGCTCAAACATTCCAAAGATTCTTAGACGACGTTTTTCGAGGTCTCAACTTCGTACACCCGTATGTTGACGACTGTCTAATCGCAAGTCCGGACAGAGAAACACATCTCAAGCATCTGGATCTTGTTTTCGAACGACTACAAAAAAATGGCATTACTGTAAACGTTCAGAAATGCCAATTCGGGACCGACTCATTAGACTTTCTGGGACACGCTATCGATGCTCAAGGTATCCGACCCCTTAGATCCAAAGTGGCGGCCATTCTGGATTACCCAGAACCGACCACCGTCAAGCAATTACGCACGTTTAACGGCCTGGTAAGTTTCTATAGACATTTCATACCGAAATGCGCTTTACTTATGAAACCGCTAACCGACCAACTTCGTGGAAATGCGAAATCCATTAATTTGGACGACACCGCACGAAAAGCATTCTCCACAGTTAAGGAACTGATTGCCAAAGTGACAATGCTCGCACATCAGGACACCGGAGCACACATTAGTATCACAGTAGACGCATCCGACTCGGCAATCGGAGGAGTCTTACAACAATGCGTTAACAACTCCTGGTAACCCTTGGCATTTTTCTCTAGAAGGTTGCTAGACACCCAATCAAGGTACAGCACATTCGGTAGGGAACTCCTAGCTATGTATTGTGCTGTAGGGCATTTCCAACACTATATCGAAGGGCGTGAATTCACTTTTTTCACGGACCATAAACCGCTCACTTTCTCGTTAAGCTTGTAACAGCTTAGGTTGGTTGGTTAAAAGTTGACCCCAAACAACCAAGCATATGCCAAAACAGTATTGATCAAGTATTCATTCACTTCCTTGTTTTGTATAAGCGTTATATTCCCTATTATCTTATATTGAATGTTCAGAGCATTTGTTTGTGTGAACAGATAATCCCACGCTCCACTATGACTGCGCTAAGATCGAAATAAAGACCTATTCACTACTTCTCTGGTTTCTTCTATCAATAGCATGAGGGTTACCTATAGACACGAAATTGGTGAGCCCGTTTGAACACAAATTTAACCTCATTTTTGTTATTAATATTATATTTTTTGTACTCAATCGTAAAAGTAGACCTGTTTATCCGTTAACAAAGTTGGATATATAAATAGTTTTTTTCTTTTTCTAATTACCTTAAATTATTCGTGTTATAGAAACCATTTTTTCGTGCTAACTTTATTGCTATATTTGTCACATACCTCATGTCAGACTCAATAGAAACCCATAACCTGGAGGATTTGTCACCAGTGGAGATAGACACTGTTATGACTACGAAATCCCGACTTCCAGAATTTGATCATAGTGATCCTCAGTTGTAGTTTGCTCAACTAGAGCATTATTTCACGAGACACAATATCAAACCTGAAGGGATTCGCTATAAAGATTTGTGTTCTATTCTTCCTCCTTCAGTCGCTAAAGAAGTCCGTGACTTGATTTTAGATCCACCATCACCACAACCATACACCATCTTAAGACGAGAGATAATGAACCGTTTATCATTATCAGATAGTCAAAGAATTCAAAGATTTTTTCAAGGTGAAACACTAGGTTATCGGTCGCCGTCACAGTTTTTACGTCACCTCCAAGTCTTAGTGGGTGATAACACAGTGGGTGAAGCAGTCCTAAAACAAGGATGGATACAAGCTCTCCCATGCTACGTCCAACACTGTTTGGATGCACAAGATCCTAAAACCTCATTATCTCATTTAGCGCGTATAGCCGACAGAATAATGGAAAAAGGTCTTCCAACTGGATCAGGCACAATAAATCACACACAAAAAGTAGAATCAGCAAAAGACTTGGTGATAGAAGGACTCATTGCGAGTGTTAAGAGTCTCACTGAGGCTGTCACCAGAATGCAGATGGGTCATAGAAACAGGAGCAGGTCACCACAACGACCACGATCCAAGTCACAAAACAGGTCACAAATGTTCAGACAATCTGGGCAGTTTTGTTGGTACCACTGGAAGTTTGGTGTCAACTCAACCAAGTGCATGCAACCATGCGCCTGGCCTAAATATAGTTCTAAGACAGCGGGAAACGAGTAACCCCTCCCCAGGTCGCGACGACTGAGGAGAGGCGCCTAAACAGTCGCTTGTTTTATGTTAGAGACAGAAACTCTGGCTTGAATTTCTTGGCGGATACTGGCGCTGCTCTTAGCATCATCCCTCAAAATAAAACTGAGATTAGTAGAGAAACACCATCAATTACACTTCAAGCTGCAAATAAAACTAAAATCGCGACATTTGGGCAGAAAACTTTAACCCTAGATTTGGGGTTCAGGAGGCAATTCCCTTGGGTTTTCACGGTAGCCGACTCAGATCTGGCAACACTGGGGATGGGCTTTCTAGAGAGATACGAATTTCTAGTTGACACCAAGAAACGGCGCTTAACACTAAAAGAAACTTCGTATTACACAAAAGGTAAAGAAAGTCACATCAGCTCCCTTAACTTGATTCAAACTCCCCCAGTAACAACAGCGAAATTCCAAGATATACTCGCGGAATTTCCAAACTTAACTAGACCAAACCCACAGCCTTCTAAAGACAAACTAAAAGTAAGTCACACTATCAAAACCGA